AATTCAAACAAAAAATATTGTTTTGTCGTGACAGATCGCTGTAGCACCTCAAGCAGCACGTCAACCAAACATCTTTTCATATTTAGGGGAGACCGGGGATGAAAGTAACACTTTTTGTTTGAGCATCAGATCTCTCAAACTTTGATATCAAACTTTGATATATGGTAGCCACATTTGTCTACTACAAATAAAACTCATTTGGACATGTACTGCATAATCACAGATTATGTGAGTTAATGTCAAATACAAAGAGTTCCGTTGTTACAATCTACCACACTACTGGGGTGAGTTGTAACACAGGCTGGGGGTAGATGTAACAGTGTGAAGTAATTTGCTGAAATAAGACCCACACTTCCAATTTATGCAAAAACTTTATTGAAGAACAAAGAATAATCAGTTTTGAATAAAGTGAACCGTTTAAAGTGACAAAAACATTATATTGTATTTCTGACTTGTCAAACTGACAGTGTTACAACTAACCCCGTGTTACAACACTCCCCGGTCTCCCCTACTTAAAGCACGAAATAAACATGAATGAACATCAGAACATATTTCATTTCAACCGTGGAAAGATATCATGTCAGTACACACAAGTTTTCAAGTTAAGTCCACCGAAGTTAATCTACTCTCCTGTCTGATTTGTTTGTTGGACAGAATGCTAGATTCTGTGTTATGATTGTCAGATCGCCTGTCAATCGATCTCTTTGCAAAGGGTCAATTGTGCAATGACGTTTCCTTGATAAATGGCTCAGCAAGATGACACAAAAGTGTGTTCCAGGGAACAGATTCATCCCTTTGAAGCCTTCACTCCGGAGGGTTAAACCCTTCAAAGAAATTAGGGCATAGTGAGGAACACAAGTTTACTCATAAGAGAAATTCACATATCTGATTTATGAATAAATCGAGTCAGTTCAGTTTACATACTCGCTTGAATGATTTGTTCACGAATTGGAATGATCCGGTTCTTGAGGTTAAACTCATGATCATCATCCAATTCAACGATCCTGTTTTACAAGCCCACTGGAATGGAAGAATAAATTATCTGTGAAAAACTTCTTTTAAAAATTCATATATTCCTACCACCACTGGGAGTGTGTGATGCTGAGTAAATGATGAGAGAATTTTCATTTTTGGGTGAAGTATCCCTTTAACTCTTTCCCTGCCAAACACTGAATTTTCCGGGTTTCTGTGTTTTCACTGTTATACGCAGAAACGAGTGATCTCATATGTATGCATATGAAAAATAATGCGATCATCAACACTACCGCATGAAAACTGCCTAATGTTACCGAGTCAAATGTCAATCCAGGAAAGTGAGTGAAGTGAAGTGTGGCCAAGCATGGTGACCCATACTCAGAATTAGTGCTCTGCATTTAACCCATCCAAGTGCACACACAGAGTAGTGAACAAACACACACCGTGAACACACACCCGGAGCAGTGGGCAGCCATATTGCTGCGGCACCCGGGGAGCAGTTGGGGGTTCGGTGCCTTGCTCAAGGGTCTCACCTCAGTCATGGTATTGAGAGTGGAAGAGGGCACTGGTCATTCACTCCCCCCATCTACAATCCCTACCGGTACCGAGACTCGAACCCGTGACCTTTGGGTTACATGTCCGAATCTCTAACCATTAGGCCAGACTGCCCCCTGGTTAGTGGTAAAGGCTTGTGCAAGCTTGATAAAAAAACAATGCTTGAAGCTATAGAATAAAACAGATTTTTTTGTTTGAAAGTAGAGGGTCTGCTCTTTATTTTGATGTATTGTATGTTCAGATATTCATACAACAAAATATTCTGGAGGCCATGAAATTTTAGTGAAAATCAGCAAAAACGCTGGCAGTGGCTGGCAACTTTTTTTCAAAAACGCTGGCGGGGAAAGAGTTAATGCCGGTTTGTTCCTCACACTATGACTAGAAGACTATATAGCTTTTAGTGCAAAATAAATATTAATCTACAAAATAAACAATATTTTACCAGAGTAGCAAGAAACCTTTATCCTGATAATAGAGCAAATATGAGTAGTCCGATATACGGGTCATTCTTCATTTGTGGTGGCAAGTGGTGTCCCTCTACTTTACAACAGTTGAAATAAACTTTAAAGGTAAGGCAAGGCAAGTTTATTTATATAGCACATTTCATACACAATGGCAATTCAAAGTGCTTTACATAAAAGGAAGTAAAATATTCATTAAAAAATAATCACAACAATAAAACAAGGAATTTAAAAATGTTTAAAATGATTTAAAATTGATTTTAAATGAATTCAAAAGTTAGAAATAAAAATTATTATACATAAAATATAGTGCAATTCGGACATTGCACAGTGCTCATTCAATAAATGTACAGCTAAACAGATGAGTTTTGAGTCGATTTAGATTAGATTTAAATGTGGCTAATGTTTTAGCACATCTGATCTCTCCTGGAAGCTGATTCCAACTGCGGGCGGCATACTAACTAAAAGCGGACTCCCCTTGTTTTGTGTGAACCCTTGGTATCTTGTTTAACTGAAGAAAGTTTTGGCACATCCAACTGTTTATTTCATCAATGTAATTAAATACCAATAAACCATAAAATGTTTGCATGTTTGTATTCTGTACTGTAAACACAATTTGACCACTGTTAATAGTTACATTTTTGTTTTAAAATACATATTTAATTGAGTTTGAGAGATTGCATTTGTACCAAAATACGCATGTTCCCGCCATACCTTAGAGAGGTATCATGGAATGTAATTGCAACAATATAAAATTTTTAACACAAATAAAGTGGTTATATTGTGAATATAGATTTTAATTAACATGTACAATTTTATTAAATTGTTTTAAAAAATACATATTTTATTATATTTAAGAAAAAAGTTGTGTCCCCCAAATTCATGTCTGTGGTGTTACAACAATGGATGTCGCCCCTTTAATAAATCGGGGGATTCTATTTGGACTACTTCCTGTGTGTAAAGGTCATTGCAGGTGCTGGTTGATCTGAGGGATGCATGGGGAGTACATTCTTTCTTATTACTTTTCTTAAAGGTAGCTAAATTTCTGACAATTTCATGTGTCACACGTTATTAGTGTCTGTGGTGTTATGTTGATAACTTGCAGATCTGACATATTTTAATCAAAATTTTGATAAATACATACTTATTAATATTTCCAAAATGTCCCCTGATCTTGAAATCATCATGATGGCAGCCTCCATTTTAGAAAAGTCTGGATTTAGGCTGATGTGTCTGTGGTTTTACTGTCTTTCCTGGCTACACCACTAACTCTGAAGTCTGTGGTGTTAATACTTCAAAATGTATCTGAAATTTCTTTCCTTCAGAGCCATTTAATCTTATAATTTAATGTTTTTAGAGTATAAAGTGTTTTAATCTTTTAGAATAAAGACTATAAATGTACCACAGACCATTTTTGCTGTCTTTTTTTATGTATATCCATTTTTATTTTAAAGAAACTATTCTCCTTTGGCAGAAATAGGGGTCAAGATGAACAATTAAACATTTATTTTAAAGGGGTCATATGATGTTGCTAAAAAGAACATTATTTTGTGTATTTCCCACATCGTGACGTAGACATGTGGGGGCGTGTTAGAACGAGCCGTTTTAGGTAGGCGTGGCTGACTCTTAACTTTTATAAAGAATATCTCTTTAGTCTTTAGTCTTTGCAACTTTACAGATCTTCTTTATGCACCAAGAGCTTGTAACACTCCAAAGAGAAAGGAAACATTGAAATCGCATCATATGACCCCTATAAAAACTTAAATTTAAATGATCAATGAAACTGAATCCTTAAAGTTATTTATTTATTTATTAATTATTACCATTAATTATTACCTAAAGTTGCATATCCCTGCTCATTTTAGAACAAACCAAATTTTTACTTCAAATATTGGTAACACCATAGACATAAGTGGCTGTGTCACCAGTGTTTGATTGAAATTATTTAAAAATCAAAATATTCTTAAGCTTCTATTTTAATGGATATAGCATATTAAACTAATTTTAAATGCACAGCAATACACTTTATTAGAAAAAAAACAAACAAGCATTTTTACAAATTCTGCCTCTCATTTGCCACCCCAATTGAAGAATGACCTATAAATGACATATGAGCCGGTTCGTTTAAGTGACTCAAAACCATGCACAGCAATAAAGTAGGCTATATACCGAACTGACTCTTCTGAAACGGTTTTTTAATGAACCGTTCAAAGGGCTCGGTTTTATTTTCCAGCGTTCGTTGATTGGTTACTGAATCAACATCTGGCTCACTTGCATTCAAATAATGCATCTCATAATTGTGTACTGCAGTTATATCTGATCAAATGCACACACTTATTCTTTAGCTTTGGTTAAACAAATCAATTTTGCTTGCTTGGAACAGCAGCTATGCTAATTATGTCTATTTGTTTCTCTGTTTTTGCCTAACTAGGATTTACACAAGCTTCAGTCTGGATCCAGAACACCTGAGAAGAGATGATGCCAACCCCTCAGAGGACCTCAGATGATGCCAACCCTGAAAGAACATACAGAACTACCACATTTTGCTATAAGTTTGATTGCATCATATAATAATTGCTGTTAATAGTGTTCATCGTCTGTTTGATTACGTCTTTAACTGATTTTTCCGTACATTTCTGCCATATGTACATTAACTGACAGTCACCACTGATAAGCTACTACTAAATATTGTAGAAACTTAAATTGCTGTAAAGTTGCTTTGGAGCGATGTGTATCGTGAAAAGCGCTATACAAATAAACTTGAATTGAATTGAATTGAACTTGCTGAACTGCAATAGTATACTTTTTAGTGACGTCGAAATAAACCTGAAATCAGCGCAATTACTGACTGGCTATTTAAATGACAGAGTGTAGTTAAAGACCGATTTTTAATAATGATTATTTAATAAAAACAAACTGCTCCAACAATAGTTAATCTGGCTCATATGTTGTGCCGCTCCAGAGCGCAGGGTGGCGGCGGATTAACGTACATTGAAAGTGAATGTTGACGGCAGCACTGTTTTGCTCTGTGCACAGCGTGAAGTAGGCGGGAATTGTACTCACATTTCCTTTTTTATTACATTATGTGTTTTAGGAGTGTCCATACCATGCAAAACTGCGCGCAGGTTTGGTTTGTGTTCGTTTAAGTAACCGCTCGCCACGTTTCCTTCACTTCCGCGTCTGTTCATGCAGGTAAAAGAGGGATATTTTGAAGAGAATGGAAGATAAAAAGGTAAAAGTCAAAAGTTACTACACTGTCTTCTAGTGAATAACTCCAGTAACTAACGAAACTTAATAAAGTGCTCGATTTACGCCCATTCATGACTGTATCTCATCTGTTCATGCAGAATTACTCCGGTCCTCTTATGATTGCGCTGCAATATAATGACCTATTTGACTTGGACTCAATCTCAACGTCCACAGACACAGATGCACTACCCAAAGGCAGAGCATTCACTTTTATCAAGGTAGGTCAAGTTATTAGGATGCATGGCCAATTTCAGAGGCAGTTTATGGTGGTTTATCATGATCTTAAAATGCTTGCTGTGAATGTAGGCTGTGCAAACAGTGAATGAGAGACTTGTGGAACAGAACAAGTCCGACTGTTTGCTTTTTGAAGTGATCCTCATTTCAAAGGAGTGTTCAGAAGAAATCAAAATGAAGATAGATGAGAGTGTAAAGCATTATGGTAAGTTCACTTCGGTAAGGCCATTTTAATACAGCACTTGCATGGATATAGAATAGGGACTAAAATGTTTTTTTTTCTCTCCAAGTGGTCAAAGAAGGTACTCCTAAATTTTCTTTTAATTTCTTTTTAAATTAAATGTTATATGAAAAAACATTAGCTATAAAATACGAAAGGTTTTGACAGATTGGAATCACAATTTTATGGCAGGTGATATATTTAATGTGCTTAAAAATCATATTTTTATGTTACTTGGACAATAATTTATCAAAAAAAAAAATTAAGTTGTCTCACAATAATAATAAACAAACGTGGGATATTCTTAAATGCTTAAAAATGTTTTTTTTTTTGTATACTGTTTTTATACAATTCGTATTAAGCATGATATGCTTGTTATGTGCTTTGTTTTACATCGTGCTTATTTTGCATTGTTTTTTTTCTATCATTAGGTCTAAAAATTGGCAAATTTTTCTTTTGCAAAAAGGAAGAACTCATAAATACTCTTCAGTCAAACAAAGTTAAGCTGTTCCTCTCTACTGAAAGGGATGATGTCTATGAAGCTCTGCATACAGGTAGATCACTTAATGAACATTTAACGAGTCGTTTTAAAATATTTCTGCATGATTTAAAAAAAACTAATATTTGCATTAATACACATTAGTTTATGTTTGCACATTTTGTTGAGTTTAGGAATTCCAGCTGCTTTGCTGTACGATCAGGCTGATGATCATGTCCTCAATCAGCTAAAGGTCATTTTCTCTGGTGACGTTATCGGTTTCTCTGAGGATTCACTTGATAGTCTTTCAGAGTTTGGATTCAGTGAAACCCAAATGGAGACCATCAAAACAGCAAAGGTAAATTATGAAATATTTGTATTTATGCAACAATCTTTTTTTTTTTTCTAGTACTGTTTTTTTAAGCTTCATTAGTCATATTAACCTTGTCTTATGTTACCAGATCTGCATGAAGGAGTTTGCCGTTCTGCTCGGTCAGATGAGAAGGAGGTTTGGGCAAGAGAACAGCCCTCTCTGTACCTGTGTCTTAACCTCATGGGGCTCTAGAAATGTCTGTGCATCTGCCCTGAAAACTCTTCGGGAATGGGGTCTGGATGTGGACGAGGCGTTTTGTCTGGCTGGAGCTCCTTGCAGCCCCATACTGGCTGTAGTTAAACCCCACGTACTGTGGGACGGTGGCCTTCTCAACATGAGTTAGTAGCACTAAGCTGGACACACGTGTGTGGCTTACCTTTCTTTTAATCAGGTGCCAATTCTATTCTCTTGCTGTTACACTTGACTTTGCATATTTTATTCAAAAGGGTTATGTTGTAAAATAAGAAGCATCCATATGGGGTGATTAGGGTTTAATAGTAATTCACAGTACTATATATAGATTTTGTTAGGGGTTTGTATGAAGCTTTTCTATGTTTACATTTGTTTCAAATTATAGTACATGCTTGACTGTAGGAAAAAAATTAAAAACAAGGTTAAATACCCCCAAAATCTACTGAAATTAAATGCAGCCATATTTAGAAGACACCATATGAGCAAAGTCCGAGCATAAAACGTCATAATATATTTTATATAATCGAATTCACAGAGTCAGCATGCTTGCACCATCGTTAAAGTTGATCCTAACATGGCTTGGGTTGAATTTCAGAAAGGCACTACTTTCAGCTAAACAGCTGTGATTTCAACAAATTATATATAACAAATATATAATATTAAAGATATAGTTCACCCAAAATGAAAATTCCTTTAAAACATTTTTTTTTTTTTATAATATCTCCCAAGTCATAATGTTTCGAATATGAGTGAACATTTTCATTTTGGGTGAGCTATTCCTTTAAGAGTAAAAGTACATGTTCAAGCAGTATCAGTTACATTTATGCATATTTCAACAATAATGACATTGGCAAAATTAAAGCGAGGAGTACAATATTTTGCAGCCATGCAGTAACATATTGCAACTAAAATAAGTGATTGTCTTTGGCTCAACAGTAAAACAATTATACAAATTGATAAATCAACCATAGTATGAAATGTAAAAAAAACAAAAAACTATTACAGATCAGATTGATCTCCACTAAAAGTAAACACAAATGTGAATGTTGCACATTCATACAAATGTGGCTAAAATAAGAATACAAAAATATATTTATGCTTCCAAAGTAATTCATCCACCTACTAGTTTTTTTTTTTTTATGTGACAAGGTTACAGATATCACTTTCTAATATTAGACACTACAATGATACTATACATATGAAAATCAACATACTTATGGTTTGTATTTGAAATGGTATGCAGCTCTTTGTGATCAAGATCAAGTATTATGATAGGGAACTGAAAACTGAAAGTTCTCCTTCATGCTGAGCAAATCGGCTCTCGGTTTTGCTTGAAGTAGCATCAAATAAAATGTATTCAGTCTCAAACATACTGTATATGGAGAGGTTTAAAAAAAAAAAATAAAAAAAAAAATGAAATACTTCTACCAAGTGGTCCTTAGACATAGATGCCCTCAGGATTTAAACCTGAGGAGATCGAACTATGGAGTCCATGGATGCTGCCAACCACTGGATGAGATAAACCCGGTCGTTTCAATGAGCCAGTTAATGCAGCAAAGTCTGGGAAATGAAAGAAAACAATTTAAAGAACTTTGTCTAATATCTCATTGTGCTTACAGGGATTGTAAAGCTCATTTTAACTATATATGCTAGGAAGAGCTTAAGAATACAAACAAAATGAGTGTAGTCTTGACCAAATATTTCCATAGATCTTTGCTTAATTCCAATAACAGTTGCTTGTTTGGAATATCATGCCACCATACTACTATTCCTGTGGTATATAGTATGGATACAATGCATGTAATGCCAATTTTCTGAATGCCTAGAATATGCAAATACAACAGAGCACAATGCTGTATCCACAATGCAATGCAGTTTACTTATTTCTAGTGTGACGAATGAGCTGGAAATAATATCATCTGTGATTTTGACTCATTATTTGATCAGATTCAGACTGCATTCAGTATGCAGTACGCTAATATTCAAACTAGCCTTTTTAATTAACCAAGTAGCCAAGCCTTTGGATATTGTAAACTGTTTGGCCGATAACACGTACAATACCAACTCTAACCACAAGGTGGCACTTCGGATTAGTAATATAAACAATAACAGAAAAAGCACTTTGAAGGCAGTGACATCTACAAACAGAAGGCTTGCAACGGCAATGTTATTTTTCATCCAGGCTTGACGTCAATAAAGTCAGAAAGAAATAACAGATTTTTGTACTCGACGGAGTAAATGACAGAAGCAAGAACGCTGAGTCAATCATTGCAACGATAATCTGTCACGGCGCTGATGAAGCAGGAGCACGCAAAAGCTTTTAACTCTGTCCTACATGGGCCTGCAGTTTTTTGCTAGAAGTGTAAGTGAAAACTTACTTGGCACTGCACTAAATTAAAAACAGATGTGGTCTGGCGCTGGTCATTAATGACACTTGTAAAATGGACTTATTACTCATTATGGTTGAGGTCTTATTTTCATTCAAGCTAACGGAGTCCTAGCAGAATCCACACTGTATGGAGCATATCCCTGGGGCTTTAGATATATTGTCAGTAAAAATAATACCTTTATAATCAGTTGTGTTGCTGGAGTCATCATCGCCAGGCTCCACGGGCAGAACAGTGACTTTGGTGCCTGTTTGTTGTATGAACTGCTGTAGGTTTACCTGCCTCAACTCTTTGGTAAGCTGCTCCAGTTCATACTGACTCTCCTGGTGGAAAGAGGGTGGAGAAGGTGCTAATGAAATGTTTGTGTAGTATTGCAACTGGCACTCAGCCTGCAGCAATGCAGTAACAACTGGCTATAAACCGTAACAATGTTCCAATGTACTCCCACAAAATCAGCTCACGATTCTAAACAGATGTGTCATTTTTGCATTTACAACAATCACAAGAAGTGAGAAATGTTTTAGACAGAACTCTTCTGAAAAGAGCAGCTAAGACCAGCATGCATTTCTTTGTTAGTGAGTGCTGGTTTGGAACTTGTCTAGTTAAGTGTACTTCAACCAGCTATGTTGTTCACCATTTGCCATTTGTTGAGGCTAGTCAACCTGCATCAGCATTTTGCTGGTTTAACTACTTAAGAAGCCTTGTGGAGGAAACCACAGAGTCAAGTTTTTGCGGTTTAGACTGGTCGAGTTAGTCCCTGCTGGTAGATGCAGATATTTTTGGATGGCTCTTAAAAGCGTGAAATGGAAATGCTCCCTGCTGCCTTTGAAATCACAGCTAAGGCTAGTCGCTAATGAAGGAGAAGGACTAATGTTTGCACATTGATTCTTGTGGTGCCATCAGCTAATCACCACTGTCAACATGTCATGACGTCAAACTTAAGACCGAAACACACTACATGACTTTTTAAAGGGGTCCTATTATGCTTTTTCAACTTTAGTTAGTCTGTAATGTTGCTGTTTGAGTGTAACGGAGGCCAGCGGTAGGTGCTGTGCAGGTAAACCTCACTCCCCTGATCTCAAGAGACGCACTAGCGACTGACGCTAGTGGCTGCAGTCTTTAGCCTCCTTGTTAGTGCGTCCGCCTCCCATGCCGGAGACCCGGGTTCGAGACCCACTCGGAACGAGAACGAGGTGTGGCGGTGAGGACCCGGGAGAGAGGCGGGTTTAAATTTACGCATTTACACTGAAGCTCGCAATGGTAAGGGGAATGACATTTCCCGACCAGGCACCCAGTGCTGGCAATCACAGCACACACTGGCCCAGCTAACCAATCACAAGACACACTGGCCCAGCTAACCAATCACAAGACACACTGGCCCAGCTAACCAATCACAAGACACACTGGCCCAGCTAACCAATCACAAGACACACTGGCCCAGCTAACCAATCACAAGACACACTGGCCCAGCTAACCAATCACAACACACACTGGCCCAGCTAACCAATGGCAACACACACTGGCCCAGCTAACCAATCGCAGCACACACTGGCCCAGCTAACCAATCGCAGCACACACTGGCCCAGCTAACCAATCGCAGCACATTTTGTATTTCAGAAGGCGGGCCTTCATTTGATACAGGAACTGTTCGAGCCGTTCATGCCAGACTGAGGAGAGGTGTTGTAATAATGTAAAATATGTGAAAAATGTGTTTTTCGAACAACCTAGTATGAGAGCCTGTTCTAGTACACCCCCAAAACAAAATCAAGACTTTGTAAAAGAGCATAATGGGACCCCTTTAAAATCTGAATAGATTTTAATTAGATAGGCATCATTCACTTGCCAACTCTGTAAATGATTACAGAAGAAAAAATGGACATCATACACTAAAACAACTAAATAAAGATCACACCGTACCAAATTATGACAAATGATAAGCATTTCAAAATCAGCTTAAAATATCAAAAGTGTTTGATATCCTTCGGCTTGATGGAATCATGGTCTGAAGCTATTGATCACTGCGAGAAATCAGTCAACTCCAACTGGCCAAAATCTGAAGAATGGCTCTGACATTTGTCAACTTTCGGCAAATAGTGTCAACTCATCCAGACTGCAAATTAGAGCAAACTTTTTTGTAGTGTATGTTAGCCTTTACTTCTAGGTACTTCTGGGGGATCCTGCACCACTCAAACAACTGGTACCGAAATAAACAGAAACAGGCTGCGTTCCAGTTAATTTTTTATGCCCTTCACTCACAAACATCCCTCCGTCTTGTTTACTCGGATGTACATCATTGATTACGTTGCATGGGTGCCCACTACAAGCGGAACCCTTGCAATGGGCTGAACTGGAACTTCCTAAGCCCTTGATCACTTAGAATCAGCTGTACAGTTGGTTTTGTTTACATTTTTCCCCTTACAAATTTGTTTGGTACAGCATTCTATATGTACAGTATAGAGGTATGCTTGGGCTGTTATAAATATGAAAAAAAACATTTATATATTATAGAGTTGTTTGGGGTGGGGATAAATTAAATGCGATCTGCAATGACGTCACAATCGTGTTGCATTGTGGTCTATGGAGCGGCCTGAAGTGTGTATATGAAGCAGACTCGCTCCCTCGGTCAAAATCGAGGGGTCGAGGGTCTGTCCATATAAACTTTCCTCGTCCACTTCGCGAAGTGGAATGCACTTCAAAATGGCAGTGGGGATTCCTCCGAGGGGAATTGCTTAGGGAAGTTTGCGAGTGCGTGTCTAAAAGTGGAGTGGAACGCAGCTATAGTTAATAGTTTTATCCAGGTATTGTAGACTTCTTTGCAGCCAACACAACATATACTGGTGAAAAGCAGTGCTTATCTTTTTTAATAATAATCTCTGGCACAAGACCAGTGATTACCACTGCAGTCTTCAATTTCAAAATTTCATATGGATTACTCAAGTTTTTGTTTGTGAAACTTGACGTACCTGCAGTCTCTTGCATGACTCAGTCAGTGAGCGCTCCACTGCTCTTGAGCTGTTTTCAAGCTGGGCCGTGTGTTGAGCTTGAGCCTTGAGTTCTGCTTTCACTCTCTGAAGTCTAGCCTTCACTTCCCCCTCACTGGCCTGCTGGCTCTCTCTGATCTCCTTATGTTGCTTTTGAGCCTCTATGCCTGCCTCTACACCCTGCAGAGACATCATCCGCCGTTCCAGATCCACCGCACAGCCGCGCAACCGACTGCTCAACTCCTGGAGGTGCTCCTGCAGTTGCCTCTCGCTCTCCCGCTCGATCTCAAGCTCGGTTGCCCAGAATTCCTCTTCCTCAATCTCCACCTTGTTCCTTTGCACCTGCTTTTCCAACCTTGAAACTTCCTCTGTCATCTTCACATACAGTTCGTCGTCCTCTAGTCCAACTCTTTTCTCGGTCAACATTCGAAGCTCTGCGTCGTACGCCTCTATCCTGCTGTCTAGAACCGAAAGAGTCTCCCTCTGCAGTCTCACCAGTTGGGTAATATCCTCCACGCGGTGGCCTGATAACCGAGGG